TGAGTTTCAGAAATTCATTCTCCTCGCATTGACACAGACATTTTTTCCCTCTTAGTATGAAGAGTATACGTCAATAAAAGGTTACAGTTAAACCCATAAGGGCAGCAGTTTGAGAAAAACATTCATTAAAAAAAAAAGCTAAAAAGATTCTAGAAGTTAAAAAAAATCACACTTTGGGCCAGGATTTTGTGATTTTACCATCACAAAAGAGATACAAGACACCGACAGCAAAGACAAACAGACACAAACACTCTTTTGTTCCCCTGGCAATCAAATCATTAAATAAGAACAATCTGGTATAAACTTTGTCACATGTAAATTATGAGTGAGTCTGGTGTGAATGTACACTTTGGTCTCCTATGGTTATAATGTTTTGTTTGGTGTAATGCACGAATTGTAAGTATAATATTTCCTCATGGAAAATAAAGATTATTATTATTATTATTATTTAAAAAAGGGTCTGGACTGACCAACATGCATGTGAAAATTAAAGGAAGACGCAGCACTGACCTATACTGACCTATATTGACATAAACTTATATGTTAGAGACGTCCGTCTGTAATGAGCGTGATCGCATAAAGACAACTTCGTGTTACGTAAGACGTCCTGTCGTGGATTTTTTTTTTTCGTCATGCAGAAGTCGTCACCATGGCGATTTACTTCAGTAGGGAAAAATTCGACCTTTTTGACATTAGAAAGTCGGAAAGAATCGCGTTTGGAGTCGAAATTATTGCAACGCCTTTCGAGTTAACGGTATAGCCTATTCAAATATTTCGCTTAAAAGATGACACAACGCAATGTCCTTTAAAAAGAAAAAAAAATATTTTATAAAATATCGGTAACAATGTCATTTTGCTTGGTGAATATTCATGAATATATATGCTCGTTAACCGTTGACCAAAGAAACAAATGACCTTAACATCATCTGCCCTATGGATCGCAAGGTCTGACAGAGGAACATAATATACTTATGTATGTTCAAGAACTATGTATTATTACCCTTATATTTATATGTTCAAGATCTAACTGTTATTAGCTTTGTAGATGTTCTAGATCTATCATCGGCACTACCCTACATCTTTATGTTTTATACCCTAGCTACTTATAGCCTATGTTTCTGTCCTGGGTCGTAACTCAAAGATATATTTTAATCAAGTTCAACAGCAAGGGGCATTATTTTATTTCTGATAACTCTGCAGAAAGGCAAAGGAAGCAACTAGCATTGAACTCAAACCATTTCACGCATCCTAGATGTTCCATTTTATCTACCCAGACTGTTATACGGCTTGAGCGCGTGCTACTTGTAAAAGATGCATAGAGAAAGATTTATGTCTAGGAAGATGTAGACATACACGCATAGAGATCTCGGTAGTTTTGAAATAGTTCTACGGACATAGATAACAGGCTACGTCACAAGCCGAGTGTGTCGGTACATCCATATATGAATTAAAGTGTTGACTTACTACACACTGGAGACGTGTACTGTGTACGTGTGTCGGCCATGTACCCGGACTGTGCTTTTTGTCTCGACATGTCATGCTCCACGCACATTTTGTTTAGACTGACATTGTTTTGTAGTTAGTGGCAGCATTCTGTAGGATCTAGGTGTCAGAGTAAGTGTATAAAGAGGTGATATGTACCAGCATGGAAGGTTTGACAGGGGCGGCGAGGAGTGGAAATGTTGACAGGGGGAGCGAGGAGTGGAAAGTTTGACAGGGGCGGCGAGGAGTGGAAAGGTTGACAGGGGCGGCGAGGAGTGGAAAGGTTGACAGGGGCGGCGAGGAGTGGAAAGTTTGACAGGGGCTGCGAGGAGTGGAAAGGTTGACAGGGGCGGCGAGGAGTGGAAAGGTTGACAGGGGCTGCGAGGAGTGGAAAGGTTGACAGGGGCGGCGAGGAGTGGAAAGGTTGACAGGGGCTGCGAGGAGTGGAAAGTTTGACAGGGGCGGCGAGGAGTGGAAAGGTTGACAGGGGCTGCGAGGAGTGGAAAGGTTGACAGGGGCGGCGAGGAGTGGAAAGGTTGACAGGGGCTGCGAGGAGTGGAAAGGTTGACAGGGGCGGCGAGGAGTGGAAAGGTTGACAGGGGCTTCGAGGAGTGGAAAGGTTGACAGGGGCGGCGAGGAGTGGAAAGTTTGACAGGGGCGGCGAGGAGTGGAAAGGTTGACAGGGGCTGCGAGGAGTGGAAAGGTTGACAGGGGCGGCGAGGAGTGGAAAGGTTGACACGGGCTGCGAGGAGTGGAAAGGTTGACAGGGGCGGCGAGGAGTGGAAAGTTTGACAGGGGCGGCGAGGAGTGGAAAGGTTGACAGGGGCGGCGAGGAGTGGAAAGGTTGACAGGGGCTGCGAGGAGTGGAAAAGTTGACAGGGGCGGCGAGGAGTGGAAAGGTTGACAGGGGCTGCGAGGAGTGGAAAGGTTGACAGGGGCGGCGAGGAGTGGAAAGGTTGACAGGGGCTGCGAGGAGTGGAAAGTTTGACAGGGGCGGCGAGGAGTGGAAAGGTTGACAGGGGCTGCGAGGAGTGGAAAGGTTGACAGGGGCGGCGAGGAGTGGAAAGGTTGACAGGGGCTGCGAGGAGTGGAAAGGTTGACAGGGGCGGCGAGGAGTGGAAAGGTTGACAGGGGCTGCGAGGAGTGGAAAGGTTGACAGGGGCGGCGAGGAGTGGAAAGGTTGACAGGGGCTGCGAGGAGTGGAAAGTTTGACAGGGGCGGCGAGGAGTGGAAAGGTTGACAGGGGCTGCGAGGAGTGGAAAGGTTGACAGGGGCGGCGAGGAGTGGAAAGGTTGACAGGGGCTGCGAGGAGTGGAAAGGTTGACAGGGGCGGCGAGGAGTGGAAAGGTTGACAGGGGCTTCGAGGAGTGGAAAGGTTGACAGGGGCGGCGAGGAGTGGAAAGTTTGACAGGGGCGGCGAGGAGTGGAAAGGTTGACAGGGGCTGCGAGGAGTGGAAAGGTTGACAGGGGCGGCGAGGAGTGGAAAGGTTGACACGGGCTGCGAGGAGTGGAAAGGTTGACAGGGGCGGCGAGGAGTGGAAAGTTTGACAGGGGCGGCGAGGAGTGGAAAGGTTGACAGGGGCGGCGAGGAGTGGAAAGGTTGACAGGGGCTGCGAGGAGTGGAAAAGTTGACAGGGGCGGCGAGGAGTGGAAAGGTTGACAGGGGCGGCGAGGAGTGGAAAGGTTGACAGGGTTGGCGAGGAGTGGAAAGTTTGACTGGGGCGGCGAGGAGTGGAAAGTTTGACAGGGACAGCGAGGAGTTGAAAGTTTGACAGGGTTGGCGAGGAGTGGAAAGTTTGACTGGGGCGACGAGGAGTGGATAATTTGACAGGGGCGGCGAGGAATGGAAAGTTTGACAGGGGAGGCGAGGAGTGGAAAGTTTGACTGGGGCGGCGAGGAGTGGAAAGGTTGACAGGTAAAGATGAGGTCTTCTCAAAACGGTGTGACAGATTTTAATAGCAATGATGTGACAAATTGCTAATTGCAATGGTGCGACAAATGACCACTTGCCATGTTGTGACAAATGGCTATTTATTATGATGCGACAAATTACTACTGGCAATGGTGTGACAAATGGCTATTTATTATGATGTAACAAATTGCTACTTACTGTCGTCATGGCTTCACACAACATAAAGTAGCACTATGGCACCCCTGTAATAATTCAGTGGGTACCGAGTCGCAAAGGTGTGTCTGGCAGCTATAATTGGTACCTGCCATTAGTTGGTGAAAACTAAAGGCGGTTGTTCGTTGTGCTGGCCACATGGTACCCTCGTTAACCGTGGGCCACAAAAGCAGATGACCTTAACATCATCTGCCCTAGAGACCTACAAGGTCTGAAAGGGAAACCTTTTTTTTTCTAGGCATGACGTGACGAAGTAAGAAGGTTTCGATCTGCAATAAACGATGAACTCTTCCACAAGCTAGTGGCTCTGGGTGAATGAAGATAATGAGATAGGGATACGCCACTGTCTTTGTAAACATGTGTTTGTTTTGTTTTACATGTTTCGGATGTTTCCTTCAGAGTTGAAGATAGTTTACTTCCTAGTCCAAACCTCCCGCAGGATAACGGGGGATGGGAGCGAGCAGGGTTTGAACCCTCGACCGTCGATAAATCCGAACGACAGTCCAGCGCGCAAACCGCACGACCAGGCAGAAATCTAGTTGTTTTTTGGACGTAGTATGTGTCTGCGCACGTCGTGTGTGGGTGTGTGTATTATGTGTGTCTGTGTCAATTGTGTGTGTGTCAGTCAGTGCTAACTCTACTGTATGAAGTCAACAGTTTTTAGTCCATTGTTCAAATCATAAGTGAAGTTACGTACCACTGTCTAGAGGACTGACAACCTTTGACCCTTAGCTGCTTCAGCGGCGTAGTTAGCTTGGGGGTGAAGGAACTGCTACAGTTGGCAAAACTCTTCTCGTCCTCACCCCCAGGCATGCGGCTATTAACAAAAATCATCCACGTGTCGTAAAAAAATGTGTTTGTGCGTATGTATGTGTGTGTGTTTGTGCGTATGTATGTGTGTGTTTGTGCGTATGTATGTGTGTGTTTGTGCGTATGTATATTTGTGTTTGTGCGTATGTATGTGTGTGTTTGTTCGTATGTATGTGTTTGTGCGTATGTTTGTGTTTGTGCGTATGTATGTGTGTGTGTGTGTATGTATGTGTGTGTTTGTGCGTATGTATGTGTGTGTTTATGCGTAATGTGTGTTTGGGGGGGGAGGGGGGCTAGTTCAAACAGTTTTTTCTAGTCTTGAAGTTTTTTTGCTTTTTTTTTTCGAAGCTTATATCAACTCATTCTGTCTGGCTGCCTGGACACATTTATATTATATTATATTATTTACTTATTTTTCATATAATAGAGGAGAAAGAGGGAGAGCTAGAGTCCGATAGTTAGAGAGAGAGAGAGAGAGAGAGAGAGAGAGAGATGGACAGATAGAAAAGGGAGAAAGGTTGGTGGAAGGGGAATGAGAGAAAGAGGAAGATTTAAATAAACAACAAAATGTAACACTTTAAAATTTTGTACAAGAAATAAAATGATTTATTGCGGGTATTGCATGTTTCAACTGATAACCATTATCCATGGTAAGGCATGTCATCAACAACCAATGACTAGTGTAGATGAGAATACATTCAAATGAGATTAAAAACGAAACAAAAAATACAAAAGAAATTTTCAAAAAAATCAAAGTTTAACAACGGCTTTGTTTCTCAGCAGAAATTAGGTCAATACAGGTGAGATTTGAATGTAGGTCATTACAGGTGAGATTAAGACAAAAAAAAAAAGAATACACAATATCATTTTTCAAAATATGACTAGGGGGTGATAGCGTGTTTATTAATTAGCACATGACTTTTTCACACCCAAAAAGGAAGTTGTGTGTTAATTAATCTTTTGTTTCGCTAAGATCTTAACATAAATTTAAAAAAATAGTTTGATTTTTTGATTTGCTTGTTTCTGTTGTGGATCTGTATGAATCCACGGCAAATTTTTAAAAAAGTTGAACTCAGAAGAGTGAGGAAACAAATAAGTGTGTTCACGGAAGATCAAAATAATATCAATATGGCTGGGTTCTTGGGGTTTTTTTGTTTTTTTTCACAAAGTTTTTGAGGAAAAGTTCAAAGAGTTATAAAATTGTACAATGGCATGTGACAAAGTAAGAAAAAACAAAAACGTTTATCTGATGAAATATAAGATTTATCAATGACTGAACAACAGTACATAAAAGAAAAGATACCTAAGTGATGATACTTAAGAATTAAAATATAATTTAGTGGATAACAAAAAAAAAAAAGCCAGTGATGCTCAAAGTACGACCTGCGGGACCTCCCTAGGCCGTGACTCTACACTTATCCAGCACCTCGAAACTCCCGCCCTCATTACATTATTAAACCAGAGTTTTTCGGTCCCCGCGATCTGAAGCCCACGGGCCTGACATGTCGATGTCCCACAAGCCGACTAGGATTGAGAACCACTGGAATAGAAGAATGAGAATACTCGCAAATGATAGACAAACCCGTAGAAATGAGAAAGTTGTTTTGATCATGACTCGAACCGAGAGGGTTATAGAGGGGTGACGTTTTCATGTACATTCAATATTTTTAATGTTTTAATATTGGTGTACATGTATATGAATGGCGAGTCGTAAAAAAAGACTCAGAACAAGAGAAACATTCATTATTTATTATAATGACTAACTACCTGACCACTCTGGCCGCTAGCTAGAAAAGAAACAAAAAAAAACTGACCCTTGCATATTTTTGAAAGGCTGTTGGGTTGCGTGAGATATACATTATTAACAAGACATGAGACCCAAAAATAAATGATGGAACAAATGGGAACGTCCTCAAATGTTGGGACGTCTGTCGTATACAATGATTGGAATTGTCTAGGTATATGTATTCAATTCAGTCACCTTAAAATAGATAGAATACAAGACTTTGATATCTCTAATCTCGAGTCAGAAGCATCAGTCAGTCAGTCAGTAGTTAGTCAGTCTTTTTTTTTTTTTTTTTGCTCTAGTTTTATTTATTTAATTTACTTTTTTATTTAGTTATTTTATTATTATATTTTTTTTTTCCTAAGTTAAATTATTTAAACAGAAAGTTAATTTGTATGCCAGTCAATATGAAAAACAAACGAAATGTATAAATAACATTTATAGAGGCATAAATAATAATAAATACACATAAAAGGAATGCACTAAAGCCATATTCACCCATTCACAGCCCAAACAGAAGCCACAATTCACAAACAGATTGTTACCTCAGACCCAGCAATATAACAACAAGTTTTAAGAGAAAAAAAAAGACGCAGATTTATATACAATGAATCACATAGTCATATAATACACTCACTATACATGACAACCAAATTCCTATAATGTGTATGAGATGTCAACACGCTACAGCGTTAAGGTCAACTAGTCTACGTCAACCATATAATTTCATATGTGTGCTCGTCATATAATAATACATATACATGATTAATAGCAAAGAAAAAAATTCACAAATGGTCGAGAATATTATAAGTACAAAAACTCAATGATTTTAAAATGTTAGATCTGGAAAATGTTTTCGAGAATTTTTTTGGTGGACAGATGTCAAAGGTCAAGCTTTGGGAAGAAAAAAATAATACAGTTACGTCTTTTATTCTATGAAGACTATTTTTAACCAATCTACAAGTCTTTTTATTTAAACCGAGCTACAATAGAATTTTTTTTATGCCGAGTTATAATAAGACTTTTTTTTTTAAATCAAGTAACATAAGACTTTAAATGAAAAATGAGTAACAATGAAGTTATTTAACTGAGTTATAATAGACTTTTTTGTAAAATATATAGATTAGAAAAAAACAACGAGTCACAATAGCCTTTTTAAAAAAAAAGCGAGTTACAATTTTTTTTTTACAATCGAGTCACAATAGACTTTTACAAAAAAAACGAGTCACAATAGACTTTTTTAAAAAAGCGAGTTACAATATCGTATTGCTGGTGAGTTATTGTTGCTAAGATTTCTGTGAATCTAAAAGTGGTTCACTCCCCAAGGCTTGACACAATGTCTTCTGCAGTGTTTAAGAGTTGCCCAAAATGTATTCCAATGTTAAAGATCTAGATCTAGGGTTTTAAAACCAAGCTGTTCATTGGTCCTCTATCTACACATGTTTCATGTTACAAGATCAAACAACTAGCTACAAGCTTCAACAGCATCTAACAGGACAGCCCGATCAATTAAACAGCCGTCCACTTTATCGAATTCTCTAGTCGACAAAGCTGCCACCCCCCTAGCCGTCAAGCTTGTCAAGCAATATATAGGTCAACTCAATAGATCTACATGCTAAGTCTTGTCACTTTCCTAAGACAGCCCACGGAACAAATTCAAGTTTGATTAAGTCAATGCAAGACTGTTGATACCAGAAAGTCATGCAATTTTTTTTTCTGGAAAAATATTTCCATTTTGTCACAAATCCGGTTTGTTTGTCACGGACAAACCTATTTATTTGTCACAAAGAAATCTATTCCTATTCTGTTTGTCACTTAGCAACCTATTCTGTTTGCCACAGACATACCTACTTATTTGTCACAAACCAGCCTATTCTGGTTGTCACAAACAAACAAATTTGCTTACATAGCTGATGGAATACAAACTTACAAAAATGACTCTTGTCTACTCCCCTCACCCTGAACACGCCTAGCCATCAGATTCAAACCCCCTCCCTCCCGACATAAACACACAGCCAGCTGAATGCTTATACATTTTAATAATTAAAATTATTGTTGTTGTTTGTAAAATGTTTCGGATGTTTCTTCAGAGTTGAAGATAATTACTTCCTAGTCCAAACCTCCCGCAAGACGACGGGGGATGGGAGTGGGCAGGGTTTGAACCCGGGACCATCGATAAATCTGAACGACAGTCCAGCGCGCAAACCGCACGACCAGGCAGCCATCCATTTTAAGGCACATACGGCTATTGTTGCAAGAAAGAAATAGCTGGAACGCCTCAAGCAGGAAAAAGTAAACCTGGGTTTCTTTCCCAGGGTGTACTTAGACGTAGACCTAGATCAACATTGAAACACTTGAGGGGGGAAACATATGTAAGTTAAAAAAAAAAACAACTCGTTTTAAAAGGAATATTTTTGGGGAATATCCGTTTAGAGCCCAGGTCGATTTGGTTACTATATCTAGATCTAGACCAGACGAGATCTTGGAACTACTTACCAAGTACATATGTGAGATGGGGGGGGGGGGGAGGGAGGGTTACAGATTGGTCTATGAGGGTTGAGATAGGGTGAAACAATCGAGTCAGCATAACTTATTTTTTTTTTTTAAAGATAGATTGTCCTGGCAGGGTAGCTATATCAGTGTTGACTTATAGAGCTAGTCTTAAATATACAAGGAGACACGACTCTGCAACCAGTGAAGTAGGCTTTGTCATGAGATGTGTAGCGTACACGCATAGATGTACATTATACACAAATAGAAGTATATCGTACACATATAGATCTACTATACAGAGTATATACAATACAACCAGGAAGCCATGATTTTTTTGCTCTCTCCCTATGATTGATAGGGATGGTGGGCGGCCTAAATGGGTAAAAGGTTTGGTAAAATGTATTAAATGTTTCGGATGTTCCTTCAGAGTTGAAGATAATTTACTTCCTAGTCGAAACCTCCAGCAGGACGACGGGGGATGGGAGCGGGCAGGGTTTGAATTCGAACGACAGTCCAGCGCACAAACCGCGCGACCAGGTGTATTTTTATGACCAACAAAATGATTAAAAATAAAATGTCGAATGTATATGGTATATAGTCTATGTATATGTATGATGTATATGGTATATAGTCTATGTATATGTATGATGTATATGGTATATAGTCTATGTATATGTATGATGTATATGGTATATAGTCTATGTATATGTATGATGTATATGGTATATAGTCTATGTATATGTATGATGTATATGGTATATAGTCTATGTATATGTATGATGTATATGGTATATAGTCTATGTATATGTATGATGTATATGGTATATAGTCTATGTATATGTATGATGTATATGGTATATAGTCTATGTATATGTATGATGTATATGGTATATAGTCTATGTATATGTATGATGTATATGGTATATAGTCTATGTATATGTATGATGTATATGGTATATAGTCTATGTATATGTATGATGTATATGGTATATAGTCTATGTATATGTATGATGTATATGGTCTTATGCATATGATCTAGAACAGAAGACAATACAGTAATAGTGGTGATTGCCATTACACGTATCAACTATAAAGTGCCAAGTATGTACAAGTCAGTAAAACGTTGAAATATCAGTGAAGTGGCTATCACGCACACACTTAGATACACATGTGTAGTTACACACACACACACACACACACGGACACGCCGGCAAACAGTCTAGCACACGTATCACGCCCCCGCGTACCCCCGGAACACATCATGCACGAGCACACACCATTCGCTCTGACACACACACACACATACTCACACCCTAGCACACTGACACACGTGTAAGAGTCAGCAGCAGAGATCTAGTATGTACACAGCAAAGTTGTCCAAATATCAGTTGTGTTTATCATATAGTCGGGGGGAAGGGACGAGTGTGGCTGCACTAGGAATACAGAACAAAGAAATATAGAATTTAAGCTGCTACACCCTTAAAGACCTGACAAAACGATATTCAAATCGTGGAACCATTATGATGTTTGTTTTCCAAATAAAAATAATGTAGTATAATATTAATAATACTAGTAATCAAAATGAATGGTTTAAAAAACGACAACACACTTATACACTAATAATAGCCTATACTAGATAAATGGGAATAAAAATCATTAAATTCGATTCCAATCATAGCTTAACAATACAATAATATAAAATTTGAAGAAAACGGATCGATTGAATTCAAAATGTTGAATGTTGCCAGGTTGAAGCCTAATGAAATTCCAAAGCTAAGAAATATGTTAATCTAAATCCTGTGTGATCTAGTTCTACAGCATCCAACTAGATAGTTTAATTGTGTTCCGATGATTGGTAAAACTGATGATCTTCTCCGTGCCAGAGCTGCGTCTGGTCGCACGTGAACGACTTCGTGTCGTAATAGAACTGCGCGTGAGGGTCACTGTGTTGATGGCTGAAAGGGGAGGAGCTTAGCCCGTATTGACTGGCGTCATAGGAGGTAGTGGCGCTGGAAAGGGGAGGACGGGTGGAGATGTCGTCGTTGACAAGGGTGATAACTGGAGGGAGCTTGGCGACGTTCTGAACTAGGTTGGGGTCTATGCACGGCATTCTGCGCTGATTGTTGATGCCTTGCTGCACTGCTGGGAAGATGTGAGGCTGATACTGCTCTAGTTTCACGGCGTTGTTTTCCATGGGGAGGCCACTGAACTCTGCGGCAAGTGCAGGTAAATCCGATGTGATATTGTTCAAATCCCAACTCGGCAAATTACCTTGATTATGACTATCTAAATTCTTTCCTGTATCACTGTGGGATATCGTTTTGAAGAAATCCAAGCTTGGTATCGAGTTGACAGTCTTTTCGCTGGGTAACTCGGTCGCCGCTGAAGCTTGGGGAGGTAGGTCGTTATTCAAGGCTAAATGTGCACCAGTGATGGCGCTGGAGATCTGAGTGTCGAAGGGGGCGCCAGTATAATGAGTGTGCTCGTAAGGCGTGGATGCCCCAATAAGGCAACAGCATCCCGATCTACAGTGGTCGTCTAGAATGTTTCTGAGTTGTTCAATTTGTCGATTAAGCATTTCGTTCTCTTTACGTAACTCATTATTAGCCCGGACAAGTTCCTGTGTCCCCTGCAGAAAAACAAGTATTTATGACAACAGAGGGGACAAAACAAAAAATATAAAAACTTATTAAAAAAAAAATCCAAATCTGTAATAGAAGGCCTATCCAAAAAAATTCAAGCATGTTTTTTGTTTTTTTTTTAAACAAATTATAGTTCCCTGCAAAAAAAACAGCACAAACAC